TGAATCCAATTTGACTTGAATTGAAACTTTAAGGCAGCGATTGAACTTCAGTTTTTGAGTTGAACCACATGGGTCTTTGTAACAGTGTTGTGTTTCCAGTTCACATCACATCTTCTTCTTGCACCTTTTTAAAGATGTTGTGTGTGAGTGATGCTCACTTTAGGGTTCTGTTCTGGACCTGCTCTGTGCTCTGATCCGATCTTAACGTAACGACAGGCCATCATGTTGATGTGTTTAGGGTTGAGTCTGCCGTGTTTAATCCTCGCCAGCCAACTTTGTTTTTAGTTGTTCATCTCAGCCAAGTAGAAAGATGCAAAACCAGCCTGAGGTTGGCAGCAGTGAGAATGAATTGTTCATGTGTTGGGATGCTAGTCGGCATCTTTTTTTAAAAACAAATCTCCCAAAGCGACTGCAGAGGCTTGCCGCTACCTTTCTGACTGCAGATTCGCATCAGCAACTCAGATGCACCTCTAACTCTTATCTCAATATGTTTCAATATGCTGAGCGAATCAGGAGTGAAATCATATTCATAAACTCCACCCTGACGCCAGATGTAATCTTGTCCAGTATTGATGCGGTAAAATTGGGGAATGAATTGTCTCGCATGGCTCGTCTTTGTATCTCCACCTTCTGTGAATTCATACAATGTAAAGAGGAGAGAGGGAATGAATCTGTCACGTTCCTCAGCACACAGAATCACAGGCTTAGTCTTTAATTATTGTGTGAAATGAATGAAGATGGGTCCGGTCAGCGAGCATATAGTGAAAGAGTTCATACATTCATCCACAGAGATTCACTTTATAGGGTTCCAGTAATGAGTTTATTCATCTGAGAGTCCGTTCTCACACTTATTAAGTGCTCGTACATTAATCTCTCTTTGTTCAGCTCGGCCTCACGTTTCTATATGACAGAGAGGAGATGATACAGCACCACGCTGAGGAGGAGCTACACGGAGCGTTTAACCCAGAATCACCTTCACATGATGAGAGAAGCTTTTTAGGTTGTCCTTGGAAAAGAATAGACGGACAGTCACAAAGGAAATGTATTACACAGATATCTATGGGGGGGGGGCTGTAATATCTGGTTAAGCATTTGATAAAATGTATTTGAAATCAACAGAATGTGAAGAGGTTCAACATATCCTCAGTTACTCCTCATTGTGCGATTTCCATCTGTCAATTTCTTTTCAAAATAAACTTCCATCTTCACAGGAAACAACTCAGTTATGTTTAGTCAACAAAACTACTCCGGTAGAACGTACTGAGAGAGTCTTTTAATGGACACAAATGATTGATTGTAGCTTTGGCTACTTGTTGGCTTCTTGAGCCCATAACTTAACCTTCATGTCATCAAGTGCCTCCCGATGCTGCAGGACTCTCTTCACACCACTCGTCTTCATTTGACATTCTGGATGTCACGTCGGCATCTTGTCCCTGATGGGAGTTTTAACTTGGCTGGTGTGGGATAAGAGTTTAAGGTTAATAGTTTTGTTTTCAGCTTTGTTGTTGTTTTTTAAACGGCCTTGTTATCGCCATCAGAACGCAGTGAAGCACCACAGCAGCTGGAGTGTGGCTGTGGATATGTGGGACACCGCAAATGGCCGGTGATATTTTATCCGCATGTGTAGAATCATTCATCATCCGCACTGCAATCAGCCCCCCCAACATCAATTCTGCAGGTCTCAGAGAGGAGAGCAGAATACATAAAGAGCCTCATCATGTCCCTGTGTGTTCCTTGGATGACCTGGAAACACACACACCAGCAGCAGAGACGAGCTGCGTGGATCACTGATCACATCACTGCAGCATGTGCTCCTGTTCTCCATGACTTTTCGCTTTTCATGTGAGGTGAATGGCTGCTGAACTGTGTCCTCTAACATGACTCTGAGCTGTAACATTATAGATGTTACAAGATGGATACACGCTGTGACAGGAGGCTGCTATGTTTGGTTTCATCACTTAATGTCATTTTGTTCCTCACTACTGTGTGATTCTTTTTTGTTTTTTAGAGATTAAGAATTTGGTTTTTGGTTCTCAGCTCCACTCAACAACTGGAGTTAACGTTTGTCTCCTGGGAACAAAAACAAACTCACTTATTGTTTTAAAGTGTGTCTGCCGGCAAGTCAAGCTTCACAAAAGAAATGCAGCTTTCATCACCTTTTCCGGATTATTTTTTTTACCCTGCATTTTTTACTTTCAACGTCTTCAGCTTCACTGAGTCACAGATGGCCAGACAGTAATAACTTGTGCAGCCTAACAGATTAAACCCACATAACTCTATTTCAGGTTCTAGTGGAGATCTAAAAGTCTGGAAAAATGATGTGCAAGATATCTAAAATATTAAAATTTGATGGAATGAGTTTGAATACTGTGAACATCGATTGGTTGTTCAGAATATATGGTCTGGAATAAAATGATTCATTTTTCAAACTGTGAAGCTATTTCAGGGACAATACAAGAAATTGGATTTTTAAGATGCATTTAAGAAGAAAAAGTACTTTTTGTAAATATACCCACATATTTAATATCATGTCACGTGTAGAAGAGTTGAGGATTCCACTTTCCATTATCATTGTTAAACGTATTTATTAGAGACGTATATATTTGATCATTATAATAATGACCTATTTATTTTGGTTCAGTTTCCCAGTGGGACTGGTCTGTAGCATTAGCACCCTCCTGACCGTCCAAACTGTTATTTTATCTTGATGTTTTCTGTACAAATATAATCTGTAGCATGGAAGAAGCATCTCTCCCTGAAGGTTTTCTACCAATTTTCCCCCATTAACGTCTTTCTGGGGAGTCTGTCATCATCTCGATAGAGGCTCTGAGGACAGAGACTGGAAACCACGTTGTTTCCTCCCAAAGTTTTACTGTCAGGGCCTGTTTTCCTTCACCGAGGTAAGAGACATTCACAATGTGAGTTTATGTCCTGGCTCTGTTTCTGTTTATGAGCTTGGAAATATGGCCGCCCACGCTGTTGGCCGTCCAGCTGCTCGTGTTTTATGTCTTTTTGCTTCTGCAGGCTGCTAATATTTGCTCCGACGCTGCTGGTTTAGATCAATGTGCAGAGTTTGTAGTGGTATAAATTGTGATCGCATGTCTTGTTGTGGCTGAGCTATTTCATATTTTGGGGCTGCTGTTTGTCAGGGGTCGTGTATTACGATGCTCTCATGCTGTTCATCTGTGCAGTGATGAAGAGATGCTGAGGTTTGAGTGATGGGTGTTTTGGGACAGGCTGTTTGTTTCTTCTTCTCAGCTCACTGTCGTGAAGCTTAGGCTGATATTGCATAATGCCTTTAACGATGTAAACACAGCCAGGTGAGTTCACTCAGTCACTCTTTAATAATATTTACCGTCTGTATTATTTCCTCTCCATGCAGATTGGAAGCAGTTCTTTCCAGAATTGATTCTCCGCTGACACCCTGACAACCAATGACTCCCTTCAGCAAGGTAAGAGTCTGCTGCTTGTGCTGACCTTATTATTCAGAGTGTCCCAATTCCATATTGCACATTGGAGGTTTTCAGTATGGAATTGAAAAAGTGATTAAAATGAGGTAAAAACAGACTTAAAGTCCCACAATCAGTGCCATGCACAGAGGAAATGGAGGTGCTGTTCACAGCTGCAAGAATATACGTATATATAGAGATAGCAATATGCAATTTATATATATATATATATATATATATATATATATATATATATATCGGGTAGTAGTTAGACAGCTCCTGGAAGACCTTGAAAAACTAATAGATTCGTATTAAATCTTTAGAAACGTTGGCATTTCAAAGTACATGACAGAGACATCGTATCATTTCCTGTTATAAAAGTTAAAGGATGTTTATTTCTGATACACTTACTTCAACAGTATTCTATAAATATGAGTACATAGTGCATAGTGTATACAGTTAATCAGTAGCATGGGATCTGTTCAGTCGATGCTTTAAATCAACGTGTCTGCTGCTCTTGTGTTGCTGCTCAATGTACAGATTTGCAGTTGTGTCAATTCTGAATTAGTTTGTTGTTGAAAATGAGCAAATATTTCTTTCTTGCTGTTTAATTCTGCTGCGATCAATGATGATGAAGGATGTGTGAGTATTATGGGCTGGCTTGGCTCTGCATTGTGTTCCCCTCCAGCTTGTTGTTGTTCTGTGAGCAGCCCTGAGGCTGAAGGTGATCATCTGTGTTGGCTCCCGGGATGCAACGTTGGTGTTGTTGTTGCCACAGTTATTTTCTGTAATTCCTGGACAATATTTACAGTCATTCATAATAAATCTGAAGCAAATGTTTGTGTCAGTGCAGCTAAGAACCGTGTGGTTCTTCCAAACGTTGACTCTCAGCTGATGCTCATTAATCACAGATTGATTTCCAACAAGCTGGTGCTGCTTCTGCCTTCAGGGTTTGATGATTCGTTCATATACGCCAGTATGTGGTGGGGAGAGTAACGTCACAGTAGGCCAGTGAAATCCCAGCATGGACGAGTTAAAGTCTTAAATTTAGTCAAAGAAAATGTACGCAATACAGTTTACACTATACGGGTCCTCTCTGTGGAGTATGTGATCCGGCTTCCTCCCACAGTCCAAAGACCTGCAGCTTAAGTTCATCTATGACTCTAACTGATGATCATCTACTGATGATCATCAGCTGCTCATCAGCACCACATTATATATTTCATAAGAACAGCTTCTCTGATTCAAACCATGGTGTCTTTGTGATTTCAATATGCAGAACTTAACACTTGTCTGCTGCCTAGCTTCTCCGCTGCATGTCGAGTGAATCGGTTGGAGCACTTTGTTGGAGCTTTGTTGGAGCATGTGGTGCCAAAGGACTCGATATCAACCGGAGAACATAAACCGTATTCACATAATCATCCGTTCTGTGAGAGTTGGCCCATTGAAATAATAGATTGTGTGTGCGCATTGTGTCGCAGTCATTATACCGCTGTGCAAGGTGAGAGCATGTTTAACATATAGATTGAGATGACGGATGATTCCAAAAGGTGCTTGAGATGACCTTGTTCTTTATTAAAGGGTAGTGGAACAATGGAAATACACGTGATGCTTTTCTTTAATGGTTTTAATGGAGCAGAAACCCTCGCAGGAAGTGGACTTAGAAAACTCTCAGACCACGTGTCAGTGGTTTGATCCCAAAATTATCTTAATAATTCATCTCTCAGTTGAAATGGTAAGTACTGAAATGACTTTGACGAGAAAAAAAAAAATGAGAAAAAAGAAATGTCTCAAGTCTTCATCAGATCGAGAGGCTACAGTATATTGTCTCCCAGAAATCGTTCACATAGCAACACAGCACTTAAAAATCCTTTAAATAACAATCAACAGGTTAAATTCTTGTCTATTAAATACTTTTCAACATTTCCTTTTTCTTTTACTAGTAGTTTAAGTTTGGCTTACAAAGTCCCAGCAGTATTTTGCTCGTCAGTGTCTTCTCCTTTTATGTTCGTGGCCAAAGATATTATTGCGCTGATCATTGAGAGTCAACACTCTCAAATACACTGTTGGTGTAGAGTTACATTTCTGCTTTAACCAGAGGCCGAGGGGAGAACCCCCCCTCCCAGGCATGCCCCTCGTTAGAGGGGCTCAGTTTGCGAGCCACGTGGAGGTCCAGTAAGGATGGGGGCTCAGACCTCAGACTCCAGGCTGGATACCCTGCCCCAGGGCTTTGGCACATAGGGACTGTTGACTCTGCGCGCCACCAACACCTGCCTCCGCTCTCTGTTCCCAGAGCCTGGGTCCTCCCTCTTTCCTGTGCCATCGTAGGACCCGAACATATTGTTGTGGTAAAGCACCTGCCTGTCACCCATACGAGGCAGCATCGCTGCGTTATCCGGGCAGTGGCTTGCACAGGGAAACAAGTGGCACATGTCCTTGGAGCTGTCGTAGTACTGGGAGGGTCTCTGGGCCAGTGGCCCCACATACACCGGTAAGTCCGTGTACGAGTTCAGGTAGGTGGAGTAGTGTCTGTGCACCACCGTGGAGGAGGAGCGGCGCAGGGCAGCGGCGTTCTGCAGGATGGCTTCCCTGTACGAGGGCAGCCGGGTGGACTCGGAGTATTTGAGCTTCTGCTTGTAGGGGTAGGAACCCATGTGGGCTGGGTCCAAGTATGCGGGCTCAGCAGCCAACGGGTAGCAGGACAGGTTGTGCCCCAGACTGCCGTATAGCTTGTTGGGCTTTGGGTTGGCCACCACCACCCGAGGAAACATGTCGGGCATGTCTACACGGGCGGAGGATTTGGATGTGGAGGGCTTTGTTTCGTCTACCTGATGGATCCTGTCGTTGCCCCACGTGGCTTTGAGGAACGAGGCGCGGCGGTTGAGTTTGTCCTTCCCCAGGAGCGGTACGTCGTCCATTTCGGGCTCCAGATAGGACTTCATACAGGAGTTGCAGCTTGAACTGCCGCCTGGGTAGTGTCCCGGAGTGCACGCCATGGCAGCCGCAACGGGAGTATGGTTGTTCAGAAGGTGGTTGGCCCTCAACTCGGCAAGGCAGGATCGAGGTTCGTCATAGTCGACTCTCACTCTGGGGTCTGCAGTGTCAAACACGTAGGTATGGGACCGCCTCCTCCTGCTCACGCTGTCAGGCGGGTAGCTAAACTTCCTCCTCAGGGGCCCCTTGTGCTCCACGTAGATGTCGGGCACCTGGAACTCCCTGTAAGGAACAAACGGGGACGTCGGGTGCCGGGCCTGGTTCTCCACATACAGCCTGCTGCCGTGGTGGGGGTTGGAAGTGGCAGAGGAAACCGGGTCCCGCATGGCGATGTGAGGACTGCTGAGGCTGGAGATGGGCAGAGTCCTCTCTAAGATGTGCTGGGTGTTGCGGGCGGGCAGCGTGTAGCGGAGCGGCATGGGTCGGGTCACCACGCGGGGGTTCTCCAGGAGGGGCTGGGTGGTAGTGTCTCCATAATGAATCGGGAAGGTGGGTGTGAGGGCCCTCTGAGGGTACGGCGAGTGGTTGTCTGAGATGCTGGAGATGTAGGGCAGACGGCCGTGAGTCATGTCCGTGGTCGTCACTCTGGGTGGCAGGCCAACCCGCACATTGTCGACCCCCCGCCTGCTCCAGTTCTCTATTGTTTTGGTTGCATTGTCTAGAGAGTTCTCCACTCTGGCGGAGGACACCATGTCCTTGGCCGTCCTCAGCATCTTTAGCATATTGGCTTGTGTGTAGTTGGCGGTGACGTCCGGACTCGGCATGCTGCCGTTGTGGTCACTTTGCTCCACTCCATTGAAGCAGCTGTAGATGCCCTGCAGAGAGACAAAAAAAGTCAAATTATGAACTGAACCCAAAGCAGTTTTGGGGTGTTTTTTATTGCTCCCGTCCCATTTTACTCTCTGAGGCTTTTTACTGCAATATAAAAGTCCTGCACCTCTATGGAATAAGGCTAGAAGCAGAGAGAACTCAAACATGTCTTTTAAGCAGTATAGCAGTTATGATGCCATAACAATGAATAAAGAACGCAAGTTAAATCTGGAATCTATACATCCAACATTTCTCCAATTGCCCACAAGTGTTGGAGGCTCTACATGTTATACATATATTAAACTATTTACATGTTTACAACCTCTACTTCCAGCCTCTCCTCTCTGCTCTGTCAGAATTGTTGTCACATGACATAAAGCAAACAGTTTATTAGGGCAAAGATTTTAAATGAGACGTGTAGAATTAAATGTTTTTGATGAAATATCACAATTTTAATCTTTGATTCAGTTGCTTTTCTTGATTGAAGCTTTTGTCCGACATGATGTGTTCAAGGACCGTCAGAAAGATGAAACTGTGACAAAAATTAGGGGTTTTAAAGCTTCTGGCTAGGATGAACTGTGTTTTGGGAAGAAAACGTGCTTTTCAGCCTGCCGGTGGGTTTTTGGGGTTCAGAGGGTTAATCCTCATCAGATACCAGAATGAACCAACAAGCTGCCGAACTCCCAAAGGCTTTCAATCGGGTTTTGTTTAATTTTGGTACATTTCCATGAAATTTCTATTAACTTACAGAGCAAATGAGACAAAAACAATTACATTGCAGAAATTGCAGAAAGATATTCATTGTTTGTTTCTGGTCGTTTTATATTCTTGTTGAAATGTTTGATCTTTTAAAGCAAAGCTCAGACGTATAAATGAATAAGTTGCTGATCATGCACTTGCCATTTATTAGTTTCTCAATTTGATTTCCCCCCACCAGCTTTATTTTACTTTCAAATTGTGTATCTGTTTGGAAAACTTAATCCCGCCTCTGACCTGCTGTCGACACACAGATGAAGCTTTCTTTAATCGGGCAATTTGAATTCAGTTTCTCAGGGATCACGGCCGTCACAATATTTCAGCAAGTTTCCATGAAGTCCTTTTTATTGCTTTCAACTCATTTGATTTTATTATCTGTTTTTATTGTTGCTGCCCTTGACCCATGGCTGGTCGGGTACTCATTTGACTTCATTTGGAGTGCCGATATTTCTAAATCTATGTCTTGAAGGAAACCTCAAAAGCAGCCAGCAGGCTTTCCAGCCTCGTAGCAAGGCCGTCACATGAGCAACATCCTCTGCAACTTCTGTCTGCAAAAACTGTCGCTATAAAATGAGACCTACTCCTCCTGCACCGTACTGATTATTACAAAACTCTCACAACTACTGCTGTTTTTCATGGACTATTATTCATGAAATGACACAAGTTGTCTTGCCCGTGTTGCAGCACTTCTTGTGTAACAATGACTTACTCGACTGATCGCCAGGAGGAAGTTCAGGCGCTTTGCTTTGCGGACTGAATGGCGTAGTTTCCAGTAAAGCATATGTTCCCAAGCGAAAACCAGCAGGCTGAGGCCCATGGCTACGAGCAGCATGTAGAAGACCCCCGCCATGTTGTCAATGTCCAGCTTGCTGCTCATCACCTCTTTCTTCTCATTGCGGCAGATGCCTGTGAGCCAGACGGTCTGCAGCTTCTGAGTGTCACCTGTGAGTTAGGAGCAGAGGAGAAACACTTATTTGCATATCACTCGTGTTATTTGGGGACTTAAAAGAGAGTAATGAAACAGCCTCGGGCCTCTCGTGAAAATTAATTTGCATGGGATAATGAAATTTGCTCTCATATAACCGGCACTCCAGGTACAACTGTACAAGGTTGTTCAGTTCTTCTGTTTGTGATTTAGTGAATGCAAAACCAATGCTGACTCTAGGAGGTAGAGCGGTTTGTCCTTAAATTACAGGGTTGGCGGTTCGATCCCTGGCACATCCTGTCCACATGGAGAAGTGTCCTTGAGTGAGACACTGAACCCCAATTAGCTTTCCGGGCGCTTTAAAGCAAAACATACTTAGGATGGGCTTAATGTTCTTGATGATTTAATACAATCTGTTCAGTTTTGGACGTAATTTCGGGCAGATTTTGTTTTCTGCTAACATAATGAGTAAATGTTGGCAATTAACCCGACAATCACCAACCATATTTCATTTGTTTTCTACCCAAAAATCCAATCCTGCAATACAATATCCGCTCATAGTGAATACAGTCTTAATAACCTTTAATATGGTTATGGGTACAAACATGGCAGTGTTACCAAAAACTGTACCGTGGTGTCACCCTAGCTAAGTACAACCAAATGCTAATGCTAACTTTCATGAACTGGTTAAATATGAGACGAAAACACCGGACAAAGCTGTGGTGGTAGAGACCTGTCAATCACAGTAGCCCCGCCCTAAAGCATCCCCT